GAGGGTTCTTCAGCTTGCTTTCCTCGTGCATTCGCCGGCCGCATCCAGCCGCTGTCTGCATTTCTCAGGCTTGGCCAGGTACCTGAGAGACCTGAGAGTCATGCCGCGCCATGACTTCGAAGCTTCCGCATCGGGGCCGAAGCCTTGTTCCAAAGTTTCAAAGTATCCCCCCAGGCCAAGGAGTTCCCGCTGGCAACATCAAAAAAGGACTGGCGCTCATTTGCATCTGAAGGGTCGCAATTGCCAGGGCCCAGAACTGACGCCTTATGTATTTCCTGTTTTGCTTTTATCGCTTGGCACAGATCACTACGGATCCCTCCCCAGTTCACAGTTTCGTGCTTTCAGCAACAAAGCGAAGAAGCGCCCAGAGAGCCATTGCCACACTGTAGACTGTGCAGATATGCCTGAAGCATTTGGAGAGGATTTTCATAATATTTGTCAGGGACCAGCTGCCAGAGATCTTGAGAATACACTCTGTCTTTCGTTGAGATATTACTGACAATCTGCTGATGGTGTGGACGTGATACGTAATTGCCATCCTGCTGACCCGTATGCAGATTCTGAAGTGCAGCAGCCCGTTTGCTAAATTGCCTCGTTGGCTCCGTAGCACCTGTTTTGCCATGAGCCTCTGGGGTCCTCAGTAAGATTTTTCCCGCCTAACAGGTTTAGATCAAGTTGAGGTGTGAATAGCAGGAAAACAGTGTTTGCACTGCAGGCCTACGGGCACAGGGTAGGGTTCTACGCCTCAGAGCTTCCTGAAGGTCTTTGCATGTCTTGATTGAAGTTCTGGCTCAAGAAAAGCCTGTGATTCTCAAACTTCAGGACGTTAAATGCAGATTGCTCTGCACTTTTCCATGAGATAGCGAACTGGCAGATGCACGCGGAACAAGCGGTTGCAAAGTCAGGCTCTTAGAGGGAAACGCCTGCGTATTCGGTGAGAACTTTTTGACGTGAATACCATGACTGTCTAAGGTGCTTGGCTGGATTCAGCATTACGATTGTGGCCAGCATTTTCGTTGCCGAATGGCTGGCTTTTCACGCCTTCACAAAGCCAACAGCTTCGTGGGCCTTGGTTTTCAATGCCTCGTGGGTGTTAGCAATCTGGAGCTATCTGCAAACGGCTTTGACCAATCCTGGCACTCCAACTTCCCCTGAGTGGGTAGATTGGGCGCGAGCTCGCAAAGGGAGCCGCTCTTTTCAGCAATGGCAGAAGGATGCAGAAGAGGCCCACGCGAGTCACCAATCACAATGAGGGCTGTTGCATGAGTTTGATGAGTTTGCACAAGTACTACAAACAAGTTGCACCCTTGATTTATCACTCAGCCGTTGATACATGGTATAGTTGCAGGAGATTGTCCGAGTGTTTGGTGTCTCATGTCATAGACGTGCTTCATAACATTCCGGAGGTGCCACAGACTTCTCCCTACAGGCTATCCAATGCCATGTCGTGATAATGTGCAGTTGTTTTCAAGTCTTACTCCAAGTTACACCCATGGTGCAGATAGCATCAAGTAAGGTTACAAACGAAGGCTCTTTCAACCAACTCTCCAATAACTTCTACAACGGTTCAAAACGTCTGAGTCAATGCCGCCTGAACAGTTGACATCCCACGATGATGATTGCCATGTGAAGAAAGCCCTGCTTGGAGTTTCAGGGTAGTTGTAGCCCGTTTGTGCCTGTAGTTATTACCCAATTATACGTAGCCATATTCGGGGACTTAGCGGGATTACCTGGGCTGGAATCTCAATTACAAGTAGGATACAGTTGTTCTAAACCCGAGATGATATCCCTAAAAAAGTCTTGTATGCATAAGGCCTGTTTGAAAATTCCGCCCCTCCAGTAGGCCTTTACCACAACCCACTTGTGGAAAGTGCCTAAAGAAGATATCCTTATATGCCTATATAGCCCTGACCTTATATAAACCCCAATGTAACTCCATCATGCCTACATATTCCTCTAGAATCCCCATATCTCAGGAGACCCTGAACCCCAAACCCCAAACCCTGAACCTTAACCTCTAAGCCCTAATCCCTAAACCCCAAACGTTTGTAGCATGGCTGTGTGACTTTGTAAGGCACTAACATGCCATGTGACTTGGAGATA